TTTGCAGTTTTCATATTATTTGAAAGTAAAATTGCATATTTCGTTTGTGGGAATAAAATGTATTCGTTTGAATATATTTTTCATTCAAGTTCAAAATCTATCCAATTTGCCCAAATTCAATTAAAAATAAAATTATAATTTCATTTTTTTGAAAATTTTGAAAATGTTTTTGAGTTGTACATTTTGTCAAACAGCCTATAAAACTAAAATTTGTCTTTAACTATTTTTCTGAAACTAAGAAACCAAAGCGTTAAAGTTTTATGACAGAAGAATGATTTAAATTCATAATGAGAATAAAATGTAAAACGAAATTTCAAAATATTTTTTTTTTTTTTTTTACAATGGAAAAATAAACTTGTGAATGTTTGCGACAATGGTCTTATTGAAATAAAACTCATTGTTTAATGAAGAGAAAAAAACTGCACATCGCTACAAATTTAATTACCATCGTAATGATGAATAAATGACATTATTTTTTTTGTTTTTTGTAACTTTTTTGGGGAGAATGAATAATTTCCATATTCAGTTATCCGGAATCATTGAATTTTGATTTCGAGTCTTGATTTTTCGAATATAAATCCTGCCTGGGAAGGTGCCTTATAGCTCACACGGTAAAAGAATGAAAATATAAAGCAGCGTCGAAATATAAGAATATTTAGAAACTTGTTTCCATATTCGCATTCTTTCCGGGTTTTTATAAACCAATGGGGCATAGTAATTTTTTCTAAATTCCAAAAAGTCTCGATTCATCTAAAATGACGGGGATAAACAAAGAATGTTAAATAAGAAAAACAACGGATAAATAGAAATTCCGAAATGGGATGGCCAGAAAGAACTTAATCTAAAGCAGACTGTTAAAAGACAGCTTTTATACCATATACATCGGTGTTGTTAATAACTTGATATCCAAATAACCATTTGGAGTTTTCGATCAACTGGATATTGAGCCAAAGTGGATGTCTGACAAATTAATGTAAAAACTCTTTTGTAATGATAAATTCAATATATATATATACATTATATATATATATATATATATATATATAAAATATTTGATAACCGTTTTGGATTGAATCAAATTAACGCACGGTAGAAAAGACATATGTTTCGATACTGTTTAATATATAGCCATTTTAAAATGGCAATGGACGATTTAAATAAACATTTCGTTTAACATTTTTGAATTATGCATTATACCATTCGTTTATCTGTCTGATGATATCATTTTTGCATCTTTTAGAAAGTTATTTTTGTTAATTACTGAAAAAATGATTATCAGTTTCCAAAAAAAAAAAGATTTGCCTCGGTTTCAGAGAAAATCATTGAGCATTTTTATAGTAATAATCAGAATTTAGTAAAGATTCGAAATCTGTCTTTTAATAATTTTAAGAAAAATTTGTTTAAGGTGTTGTAAAAAATTTGTCTTTTTGAAAATATTTTTGAAATTTGAAGCCATTTTGTGTTTGAAAAAAAAAAAAATTTGATAAAAAAATATCAAGTTAAAAAATGGAAACAAATTAATATTATTAAATATATATATATTATATATATATATATATATATATATATATATATATATATATATATATGAAGAGAGAGAGATTTTAAGATTCTAATTAAATTGATGACACGTTGGAGATATTATAACACTAATCAGGACTTCCAGATGAATCGGGATGAAAAAAACGTATTTTGAAAATCAGTCCTTCATACATCTATTGTCCGGCCGGGCAGAGAAATCGCTTGACGATGGAACGCCAGCAGCAATTCAAGGGCTCAATTCATAAAACATCTGTGATCAATAAATGAAGCTGCAAAAAAAAAATTACACTTTCAGTGCAGACGGACTTTCATTGAATAAAGGAACGTAATAAGTGATCGGGGATATTGTTGGATTTATAATCGCGCAGGAAAATTTGAAATTTTTTTCATATTTTTGTTTATATATAATATATATATATATATATACTGAAGTTCAACATTTGTTGTATATACATGCCCAACACAAACATATATATATAAATGACTTATTTGAAAAAAAAATATATATAATATATATATATATATATATATATTCAAATTCTTTTATCTAGATTACGCTTTTTTAAAATAAGAAAATCAGTTAAAATATTAACGATTTATCATTTGAAGATACACAAAGATACAAACACATTTCCCTCTTGCCTTTTGAACACGGATTAATGAAGTTCAACATCCCTATCTTTATGCATTTTTCATAATATATAATATATATATATATATATATATAAAAAATCAAGAAGGTTTTGATAAAAAAAGAATTTGACAAGCTGTGTCTTTACAAATTGTTTTTTTAAAACCAATTTTCGAATAAGGTCAAATGTTTAGTGTGAAGAAAGTTTTATTACACATCTTCGAACCTAATACTGAACACCTTATCCGAAAACTGTTAAAATAGAAATCTAAAGACATTATTATTTAAATAAAAATTTGGATGAAAATATAATCAATAGAGTCCGATATTTTTTTTTAATTTTTTAATTTTATATATTCTTTTTATATATACAAATATATATATATATATATATATATATAAAAAAAATATATAAAAAAAACAAACAAAATCTAAAAATAATAATTATGCTTTTTTTAATTTTAATATATTTGTTTCAACGATACGGACGGGCAGAATTCATGGAAGATTAAAGTTTAAATACATATCAGATTTTAAAAACATAATTTTTGAAATCGGTTTGATCTCAGAAAACGATTCCGTCTTATATGTTTGATTTAGTCGGATAATATATTTTATATGAATATCTTTTAAATATTGAATCCGGTAATATTATCATCATATATGTTATTATGTTTATGAATATATTTCTTAAATATGGTATCTATAAAAAGAAAATATAAACATAAAATGTCTTAAAATAATTGTAATATTTTGTCCATTTTCATATATATTTAGGAAAAAGTTTATTTTTTTTTTAATATATATATATTTTCTTATTTAATTATACTATCTATATATTCAAATATATATTGTTATATATATATATATATATATATATATATATATATATATATATATTAATATATATAAAAAGTTTCAAATTAAAAATTATAATGTTTTATTTTATGAAAGTATTTATTTATTTATATATATATTTGATATTTCAAATTGTCCTCAATTTTTCATCAGAAATAACTGTTTGTTACAAATAAATTAAAATTACTGTTTGTTAGCAAGTAGCGTCCTTCGCGAGACGCGGACGTCACGTGATATGGAACGTCACTGTTCCGATATTTCTAACTTAAATCTAACTGTCATAAATATTTTTAAAAAATATTTTTTTACTATATCTAAAAAAATTGCTTAACTATTGAAATATTTATAAAGATTTAAAACACCTAAGTCCCTATTCAACCCTAATTTATGTGTATTTAGTTTTAAAATCCAATATGTTTCTTTTTTTTTTTCTGCGTGTGAATGTGGAAGTAAAATCGGAATCTATTAATAAACATTTGCAGTTTTCTAATGTGTGTCCTGATTGATTGTTGTGTTTAGCTATGGGGAATAAGGGTTGTTTTGACGTATTGTTTGTTTATGGTTATTAAAACGAAATCTAAAATTGTTTCCAGACTCACCAATATATCCACTATTAGGACATAAGTTGCAGAATAAATAATAGATTACGTTATGGCTATCGCAGGTGAGGTTAGGTGGCTGTATCCTGATATTGGTGTTGGGTACGTAAAATGTATTAGCTATTATTAAATGTTTGCAAACTAAGCAACGAGGTTTGTTACATTTGTAATTTCCTGTTTGGTTTCTATTGTTTAGATATTTGGTAGAGGTGAGGATAGCTGATAAGTTAGGTGATTGTTTCATTGCATTTATGGGTGGTTTATCGAAAATGTCTTTGATCTTGTTGTCTAATTGGAGGTTCTTGTAATCATTTTTAAATTGTGAATAAGTGTGTGGGAATATTGATTGTGGTTAAAAACCATGGGAATCCGATTGTTGTTTTTATTTTTCTTGTATGTGAGAAGTGTGTTACGATTTATCAGGATAGTTTTATTTAGTGCTTCTTTTTATTATTTTTATTGGGTATTTGCATTTTAGGAATTGTTTTGTTAAGTTATTAATGTTGTATAGAAAATCTAAATGGTCTGAGCATATGCGTTTGATTCTTAGAAATGAGCTGTATACAATAGATTTTTTTTAATTTAAAGGGATGACAGCTGTTAAAGTGCAGGATATTTATGTTGGTTTGTGGGTTTGTTGTATAGACTGGTAGAAAGTGTATGCTTGTTTAATTTTATCATAACGTCTAAGAAAGGGATGGATGTGTATGAGTGCTCCATGGTAAATTTAATTGTATCGTGGAAATTGTTGCACAAAAGTGAAAAAGGTTTTTAATTTTTCTGATCCATGAGTCCATAGTAAGAAAATGTCATCAATATATCTAAAGTAATGTGATGGTTTATATTCTGAATTGTCTAGTATCTTCTTTTCTAGAATGTGCATAAAGATATTAGCATAACTTGGTGCCATTTTTGTGCCCATTGCTGTGCCACTAATCTGTAAATTACGCTATATATATATATATATATATATATATATATATATATATATATATATATATATATATATATATTTCTCCTCATGGGTAGCTCGTCACGGATTTCATGCAAATATCAATTTCAGGTATTGGATAGAGATTGACGGATACATTATTAAAATTTAATAAACATATCTCGGAAAGGCACTGTTGGCGCTGACCATATAATATACGGGGATTTTCTTCTGAACTTGGAATTATCAGCTTTGCGCGGTAGAACGTTAACCTGTTGACTCAAGTCCTTTCCTTATCTGTGAGGTTGGGAGCCACATCAAGTTGAAATACTGGTTACCTTCGAAGTTAAGCAACGTTGAGCCTGGTCAGTACCTAGATAGGTGAAAGCTTTTGAATACCATATGCTGTAAACTTGATTATGCGGTGATATGCTTTAACGCCATAGCACGTTGAAATACCGGTTACCCTATGACCATCGAAGTTAAGCAACGTTGAGCCTGGTCAGTACCTAGATGGGTGAAAGCTTTTGAATACCATATGCTGTAAACTTGAATATGCGGTGATATTTTTTATTGCCATAGCACGTTGAAATACCGGTTACCCTACGACCATCGAAGTTAAGCAACGTTGAGCCTGGTCAGTACCTAGATGGATGAAAGCTTTTGAATACCATATGCTGTAAGCTTGAATATGCGGTGTTATGTTTTATGGCCATAGCACGTTGAAATACAGGTTCCCGTATGATCATGGAAGTTAAGCACCGTTGACCCTTGTCAGTGCCTAGGTGGGTGACCGCTTTGGAATACCATATGCTGTAAGCTTGAATATGCGGTGATATTTTTATGGCCAAATCACGTTCAAACACCGGTTCCCGTGCGATCATGGAAGTTAAGCAACTTCAAGCCTGGTCAGTACCTAGATGGGTGAACGTTTTGGAATACCAGATGCTGTAAGCTTTGATGTGCTGGTAATGTAATGGAAAAATGTTCGTAATTGGAAATTGGTCAACCAAGTTCTAATTAAATTAAGATTCGTTATTTTGAATCTAGGTTAGTTGCGTCCTGGATATTTATGTCCCAGACAATTGGGTACAAATCAATCGCGTCTCTGGACATTTGCGTCTCTAGAAAAATGCGTCGCCGGATAATTGCGTGCCCCTGATAATTTTTTGAAGCTTTTAAATCAATTATCATAAACTTTGAAAAGATTATATCTAATAATCATACATTCTTCAAAAAAGGAATAAAAAAAAAATTTAAAAAAAAATAATTTTCATGTAAAATGCAATGACAGATTATCAGGATTGGAAGATCGCTCCACTCATCGCCAGTATGTTTTTGTTTCAACGTCGTTTTTCTTATGATAGTGGTAGATGTAATTTTACCCACCACAAATATTCTCCCAACTAAACGAAATTTGATACAGCCGTGCACTCCTCACCACCATTACCATTCGCGCGATCGTATGTAAAAATCATATTTGCCTGCTCATTATATGAATATGCTGCCATTGTTAAATGGAACACTAGTCAGTTAACTCACTACTACAGATTTTAAACGTTGAAGTGAGACTAGTCACAAATATACACGAGTGACAAATGTAACCAAGTATACAAATCACGATACAAAAACAAACCAAAGAACATCCTCTTGATTTATGTAACTTTAACATCGAGGAGAAGATTATTTATTACTATTTTCGATATTACAATAATTACCATAGTAATTCCAACCATTACCATTTTAGTATAAAACTATTGTTGACAACCCGGGTTCGTTCTACGGATGTATAAGTGAAAGCCTCATTCATTTCGCTATGTGTTGCTGCTGTGTTTTCCGTAAAATTGCTAGTTTTTCAAGACTCAGTCCGAATAGAAGAAAGAGAAATGGATTTAATAAATATATTTTTTAGTTCTTTTGTGTAGCTGTGTATGTGTATTAGTATGTACTAGAAAGACGACTCAAGAATAAACGGTTTTCGGAGTTAGGTGGCCAGATGTAAGGGGTGATGTGGCCGCAGAAATTGTCTGACAGACATGATTAAGTTCTCCTACTTGTGTGGCATGGGGCCTAGTCTTCCAATCAAAGTGTTTTCAAACAGCTCCCGCCTCTTAACCCAGGGCAACATTACCTCCTCAAGGCACTTGACGCAGGACTTTGTCTTGAGTCTGATCCCCTGTGGGAAGATGAATGCGGAGCATAACGTCGCCATCAGTAGTGATCACTCCAAACACCTTCATAATCACCAGTAGACTCTTTCTGAATCCTCTGTAATGTTCTCAGATTGATACACAAACATTCTATTGGAGATTCCGGAGCGAATGCCAACCAGTACAGTATGCTGTTTTCAATTTTTTGGCGGAGTAAACTGCCTCATATTACACTTTTTTTCATAGTCGATATCCAATTGACTCTACTATACTGTTAACTCGACATAACCAAAAACAAAGCGCATGCGCCAAATTACATATGTAAAATGGTGACAATTTATCCACCGTACCCTGGATCATTCAGTTATGTACCATGCGTGATAAACGCGTAGGCGATCATGTATCTTTCGATATATGACTGACCAGGCAGATTTTCCCGCACGAGGTTACCATTTATTTCTGCAGTAGACCAGTTAACATCCAAGACTATAGAATCCGGTATGACCTGTTATTACTCATAGCTGGAGAAGAGGAAGAGGATTCATACCTTTTAGCACGTAAGAGAATGTAATGGATTCGACTGGAATTCGAACTCGGCTCTCCGACTCCTCAATCCGAGACGCTATCCATCACTCCACCGTGACTCCTCCGGACGCTGTATACAAACTCAGAAAGAGGCAGTTGAAATTTCTGGAACACGTTATGAGGAAAGGGTGCTTGGAGAATATGACCATACCAACAGATACCTAAGACAAAAACAGCAGCGGGAAACAGTGTAAAGTATCGAATAAGTTTCTTTCAATGGATAGCAAAACGGGGAGTAGGAGGGATGGTGAAAAAACAGAACTAAGAGCCTCAAAGAATAGGAAATTGTGGAGATCCATCACTCAAATGCTAGGAGTAGAAATAAATATTATGCAAATATTTTCCAGTGCACTCTAAATGCAGTACATGAATACTGTTGAAGAATTTATATTTTAGTGTCCTGATAATAACGTATTCATCCTATCTCTGTCAAGGTTAAACGCTTGTCAAAGAACCTAAACACTGTATAAATTTATGTATTATTTTAATTACACCAGAATAAATACAAGATCTTTCTACTGTCAATAATTATTCTTCTTGAAAAGACCGTTTCAAGAACCTTCGTTTATTGATCCATATTTCTATTCCAGGAATCGAAATAATTGACCTTTTTTTGTTTATTGTATATTAATGGTAAACTTCTTGTAGGGAGAGTAGTTATATTGGATTTGGCTGAAAATCACAAGGAAAACTTCGGCGGGTTTCTTTTGTTGCCATTTAAAATAGGTGTTTTGTTTGCTTTTTTTTTTTTGTTTTTTTGTCCACGCGGCTCTGCCTGTGAATAAATTGAGTGATCGACCGATGGTGGTGTCGGTCAGGGTATTGTGAGGCAGTCTTTTCTGTTGAAATCTTTGGCGGTTTTGGAGAAAGTTTCTTTGTTTAATGCGTGTTATCATTGCAGGTATCGGACGGCGGTGGACGGCAGATGATGAAATGAAAAGAAGCGATTACGAAATCGTTTTGCACAGATAATGAAGGTAAATAATAGACATTATTGTATTTGAAATGTTCAACGAAAATCGGATAATGACAAGTTGAATTCATTTGTTTGTCAAGCAACAGAACAGCAGTTTTCTCTATCCCTCTCTATCTACCCAATAACTAACTCTCTCTCTCTCTCTCTCTCTCTCACTTTTCACACTCCCTCTCGCACCATCTCTCTCACTCTCACTATCTCGCTCTATCACTATATATATATATATATATATATATATATATATATATATATATAATGCTCCACTTTCTTTCTCTAGTTTGAATTCCTATCACGTACTGTTTCTGTTGTATATCTCTCTAAAACTATTTCACTTTTTCACTCTCTCTCTCACTCTCATTATATATATATATATATATATATATATATATATAATCTTTCTTTTCTGTTTTGAATTCCTATCACGTACAGTTTCTCTTATCTCACTTTCTATATCTCTCTCACTTTGTATATGCATGTAGTGAGGCATACATACATACATATATAAATATATATATATATATATATATATATATATATATATATATATATATATATATATATATAATAATAGAGAGAGATAGTTAGCGAGAGATATTTACTAACATATCTTCTATGTGGCACAAGGCCGAAAGACAGGACGACCAATAATTCTATAATTATTTTAATAATTATAGGATTCTATTTAAGAGCGCTAAGAATCTGCAAACCTCAATACTTGCCCAAAGAAGAAAATATACAGAGAAAACACTTTCAGATTCTTCAATATTCTAATTATTTTATCCAAAATGCTAAAAGATAGGCATACAAAATATTCAACCTCAGAAAATATCAATATTAACGATAATAACAATGACAATATATTAGATAAAAACTGACACAATACAGCCTACAAACTCGTTAACATCTACTATCTAAACTCATTAATCTAATCTTAACAATATCAAAATAATTACAACACCAAAACTATCATCGATATGGATATTCACTTGCCCCCCACCACCACCACCACTGAGTCAGGTTGTGACACAAGGTCAGTCTTTAACGTGAGGACCCGAGAGTTTTCACTAGGGCCGCTGTTCTAAGCTGGTCATAGCCTGTCCAAGCTGCACAGAACTGGTCTAAACTAGTCATAACTGGTCTTGGCTTGTCATAGCTGATCCAGGCTAGTCAGAGCCGGTCCAAGCTAGTCGTAGCCGTGATACTACCAGCACAGGGACGGGCCATGTGCCACGCAAGTATCAAACTATTATGGATGTGACTAGAACCCAAAACAACCATAACAATAAGAATTCTTAATCAGGTATACATAAAATAAAAAGTAAGAAGTGCTCCTCAAGATACATTGGGTAAACTTGCAGAAATAAAAAAAAATGTATATATGAACAACAAAAGGGAATTTATACACAACGATTTATCAAATTAATTAGCTATGCATAGAAATAAATTAACCATAATTTTATTCTCAAGAATCGTACATTTATTAAAAGAGAAAGTAACTTAATTAGAAGGAAAACATTTCTAGAATGCCGATATTGAATCTTATCAAATATAAATTGTGATTTTTTCAAATACCTTCATTCTTGAATTTTATAAAGACAACATACATGACTATAATATGTAACTGTAATAATCTTCAAACTAGCATGTTTGCACTTATCTATAAATAGTTGTAACAAAAATTATTGTTTTTTCATTTGCTTTGATGGCGTTCTTCAGAAGACGAAAGGCGTCGGCTAAGGTAATTGCTATTTTTGTAGTGATTTTATAAAATATTTATGTTAGAATTTTTAAATAAATAATATATATATATATATATATATATATATATATATATAGGAAGAGGTTGTAGTTGATAAAACGAGAGAAAAGTGTATATATTAAAACGAAGAGAGAAGCTAAAATGCCTTTGGTGTAATGTGTATGTTTATATATATATATATATATATATATATATATATATATATATATATATATATATATATATATCATGCTTTATTTTCCATATTTATGGAAAATAGAGCATGGAAATATATATATATATTTCAAAGATCCACATTACAATAAAAAAAATATTTGCAGTTTCTTCTTTTTTAATATATATATCTATATATGTAAAACAAGTGACTGTTTATCTCTCTTTTCTCCCCCCTCTCTCTCTCTCTCTTGTTATATATATATATATATATATATATATATATATATATATATATATATATATAAAGAAAAGAGACATAGATAGATAGATAGATAGATAGATAGATAGATATAGAATTAGATATATATGTATGTATTTAGAGAGTTGTGAAGTCTTGGATGTATGCGATGCATGGCCGTAAGTGTATCAACAGAAAACTGCACCAGTTCACAAATCGGTGTTGACTTCAAATTGGATAGCGACCAGTCTGTACGGCCAGATCGCACCGAGCATGTTGCTAATACACGTGAGGCGTTGTTGAACGGGAAACAATCAACTTTTTCATAATAAAACTGATTCCTTGAAAGCCGCCATTACCCGAGTAATATCTAATATAAATACAGACCATGTGACAGCTAATTAAGACAATATTATGTTCATGTAACTGATTATTTGACAATGTAGCCTAGTGGTTAACATGTTCGCTTTCTAGCCATGAAAGACGTGTTCCAATCTCAGCAGGGTCGATTTGTTAGGAAGGTGATGTCTTGATGCTACTGGCCTGAACGAGACGAACCCAGCGGGCGACACATTTGGAAAGTGCACTTTTGGAAACTGCACCATTGGAATGTGCACCTTTAGAAAGTGCACATTTGGTATGTGCCTGTAAACCATAGCACGGATTGACCCCTGCAGTGTGAGTGAAATTGGGTATACGGAATTATTTGAGAGCCGTCGGTGGTTTAGCTAGCACGAAGTCACAAGTCATCGTGACTGAGGGTTTAAGCGTTGTTCAGACTTTTCATCACGCTACATAATCGCAGTAACTATGACTAAGTTCCGCTCAGAATAGTTGCAGTGAAAACCATAGTTGGCCTCTGTGAGTGTCAAAGAAATACAAATGTGCCTGAGGAGGTGTCTTTAATGGGGATTAGCTAGCCGTTATAGTAGACTGGCATCCTCGGGTTCGGTTTGCTGCGCTATTATTATTATTATTATTATCATTATTATTATTATTATTTAACACATACAGCGATATGGCACGAAGAAAAAATATCCCGTGATCAATCATAGGCGGATATAATCCTATCTATGTAAAACTCGCAGATGTCACAGTCTTTTTAACTAATTCATCGAGATACCTGAAGAGAAGAAAGAAATAACAACTAACTATAGAAAGATAGAAAGCATAAATGCATGACTGTTAGCAAAAGAGACAACGCGATATTCATGTTATATAACGGGGACGTCAAAATGAGACAGGTCTTGAGTTTTAACTATATGCATAGTGCTGTCATAGATGAAACAAGTGAAGAAATCATAAGGTGAATATGGTTAGCAAAAGTTGCTTTCCTCAAATTGAACCAAGAAAGAAGTGATGAGAAAATGTTGTTAGAACCAAAAGAATGTCGATATGCTAATTAATTACAAAATGTTCGTACCCGGTTAGAAAATTAAAGAAAATTAAACACAAATGTTATTCACAAAGACATTTATTACTCAAGTAGTGGTTTGGTGCATAATTATCAGGCGTATTCTAAACAGTATTTATTATTAAAAAAAAAAAGCAATAATTCTACAATAACATTTTAGATGAGTATGATTATCGATCACGCATTTTTATAACCTGAAAATAAAATATTTTTATAAAAAAATTAAACAAAACAGCAATTTTTATTAACAAATAACTCGCCTACAAAAACGCCTGGTAAGAATGCACCAATCCAATACATAGTCTGCGTTCTTTTTAATAACTGTCTCGCATTTTTCACTAAGTTTGTTGATGTTATTTTCGTAATAAAACCTTGCTTCTGCTGGACGAAGATTGTGAAGTAGTCTTTGAGTAACTATTCAGAGGCAACTTCTTTGTCATTTAAATTGTCCCGTAAAGAATGGAACTTAAGAAAATCCGATGGAAACACGTAAAGGGGTATACAGTGGTGCTGTAGGAATCCCATGTTTTTTTTATTTTTTTTCTATTTTTTTTTTATTTCGACATGCTCTCTTGTGTGAAAAATGGTCCCTTTTCAATTTGAAAAATTCAGGCGTTTTTTCTAGAATAGCCGTATTGAGAATGGTGAGTTGGTATCAATACTTATTTTTGATTCGTCGTCTGGAAGACACTCAAAGTGAATTATCCCTCTGCGATGTCACCAAACGGACAGAAACAAATTAATTTGACGCAAGCCCGATTTAGTCATGGATTCTGCACATTATCAAGTTTGTTTAAAGTTCCGTTTGAGTCGAAAGTTATCAAAAGAAAGACAGACTAAATGAATGAAAAATAAATTGAGAGGGAGGGAATTAAAGTATTTTTCTTTTCTTTTTTTGTTAATTCAGAATAATTTGTGAAATTCTCCTAGAATAAAGTCTAAAGAATTTATATTTTATTATATTTAAACAGATATTGCGGAAATCAGCAAAACGTTAGCGACCAGCAATTATTCGGATAATTCGAAAAAGAAATTTTCGGATTTTGGAATGGCAGACAAATTAAATCGATTTTTAGTTAATGTTATTTAAGTCAGGTTGATTTTGGAACCATGGTATTGCGTTTCAATGTAAAAGCTGTTGTTTCACATGACAAATAAGACACAAAATATTTCTCTCGATATCTACTTTTTTTTTTTAGGAAATGAATTCAAATATGGCGTTTAGGTTCAAAATCTTATCGTTGGAATTTAATTCCTGTGATCAGCGAAAGCTATAAGATGCATGTCACAAGCACATTATTACGAAATCATTGTTCCATCAAATAAGACATTTATTTATCTCAAAGAGAAATTATCCCGAATAACCTAGTTATATTATGATGTAATATATTAGGCAGTGATGTAGTTTTAGTGTGATTTTTGATATCAGTCTGTTATGTGCCATGCGGGATACACGCTTAGGCGACCACGTATTTTGCGATAAATGACAGACGAGGCAGATTTTTTTTCCTGCCGGAGGATGCGATTTCTTTCTGCGGTAGACCAGTTGCCATCCAAGGCTATAGAACCCGGTCAGTCCTGATATTTACCCATAGCTGGAGGGAGAAGAAGAATTCATACCTTTCCCAAGGGTATTAGCACGTAAGGGAATGTAATGGATTCGACTGAAATTCGAACCTCCGTTTCCTCAATTCAAGCTGCTATCTATTACTCCACCGTGACATACCTCCTTTTCGATATACAATGCAAATTTAAAACATTTTGTCTTATAATTTGTGCCTAGAAATATTATGATGTTATATACACTTTTGTTCTTATTAATTAAAATCTAACAAATGATCTAGCAAATCTTATTCATTGAGAAGTGTATTTTTGTATTCTTTTACGGTTTTTCACTGTTTTTACTTACCGAATACAGAAAAAAATGTTTTAATTGTAGTGATTCATAATCAGAATTCTAGCTTGCTTATATATTTTCCATTCACTGTATCTAATACGAAAGATATTAACTCTATTTAGATTTATTCTTGCAATAGTAAAATCGGAAGTCAGTTTGTATGCAAAACCCTACGGAAATTAGTTATTTCTGTACAGTTTTCAGACGATGTTCAAAAAATGTTTAAAAATTGCTGAAAGCTATGAATCTAATTTTTGGTTATTACTTAACCCCAACAAATCCCAGTTTTTACACTGATTGCAACGTTAATTTTCTAAAACAAGTGAAAAATTAACTTGCCTTAATTTTAATATCTGTACTGTGAACTTCGTGAATATTCCCACTAAGTTGAATAACTTTAGACCTGAAGTAATATTACATTTTATTCTAACTTTAAAGAACAAAGAAAAACATGAACAAACCCATCTTCGGAGACTTTCGGTTTTCAGAAATACAGATAAAATGTTTTTAATCGACATCTGATATTTTTTTCTTTTACATTCATCCATTTTGTGTGACGTAATCAAATATTGCTGTGTATGATAATGGCGTCTCACCGGACCGCTAGCCGAAAATTATTCGTAATTGGATCTTGATAGCGTTCTAAATGCATCCCCGGACCTAAATGCCTCCATTAAAAGCTCAACCGAAAGCGTTAACGAATAAACTGTGTCCGGGGAAGAATGGTCTGTGAGTATGAAAGAAAAAAAGAAAGAAAGAAAGAAAGAAAGAAAGAAAGAAAGAAGGAAAGAAAAAGATGTCAAGCCTTTTAATCTACCCTTGTCCCCTGCGAAAATACCGACTCTCATCTCATTTCTCGCATTTAATACCTTTTGATTTATTATTGCAATGTGTTCCTCGTTCAAACCATTCCCCGGCCTTGAGGACCCGCAGTAGTCTAAAAAAGTTAGTATCTCTTCAAATGGTCTTATGCAAGCGAAGATCAACATAATTTATTCCTGAAAGAACTGACTGTTTTGAATCAAAAGTTGATGGCACGCAAATGACATAGTGAAAGTTTATCTTGTTAAGAATTCAATTTCCGTAAAAAATAGGAAACGAGTGAGTTTTAAAAAAAAAAGAAGAAAAATGCGAATTAAAAGTGACAGTAAAAATTTCTGAGACAAATTTTGAAGAATGCGAAATCAGAAAATTGGAAACTCACAGGACATATTGAAAGGAACGACAGAAAGAAACAGCGACAAGTTTACGTAATAATTTTGTTAAAATGAATGTCAATGCGAAGGCTAAAATGTTTCGTAAAAAGTTAACAGTTGCATAGGGGAGAGTTTTGGAAAGCCATAATCGCCCACGTCCTTAGTGAAGTCGGGATATAAATAAAATATAGAAATTATTAACATTCATTTTTACACTATTTACACTATTCGAACTATTGTCCTCACCTTTGTAGCCATATTTATTACAACATTTCGGCCGTTGTACGCTCCAGCTTTCTTCAGGTGGTTTGAATGTCGAACTGAACTCTTTATTACAAACAACTCTCCATCCTAAAAATGCATGATAAATCATGAATAACAAAAGAAAAACCTTGCGAAGTCATGGCCGTCCAGTACTCTTTTCTTTCATTTTAACGATATTTTTCTGTTTCTTCATACTTTACTTAGGCTTTAAAAGGCATCTTTTTCTATCTTAAAACGCCTTCGCATTTCGGGGTCACACTTTTCCTACGTTGATAATGCGCTTCCCAGATATATTAATCGTTGCCCCAGTTTGTAATTTGCACCATGACGTGTTCCTTTGGATAGCAACAATGCGTTCAGTCTTGTTTTAATTGATGTTTAAAGTAATCTTCTCGCTTTCTGTGTCTGGTAAACAATACCGTGTCATCTGCGTTTCTCATGTTGTTAAGATTATGGCTGCCAACAATGAATCCCGATAGGACATATAATTTTCTCACAACAATCCCGCTGCATATCTTGAAAAGGACAAGTGAGAAGACGCACAAAGAGAAAAATGTATTAACGTGTCGGTCGTGCCACACGTGATACACGTTTGGGCGATCATGTACCTTTCGATACACGACTGACGAGGCAGATTTTTTTCCCGCACGAGGTTGCTATTTCTTTATGCGGTAGACTGGTTGACAACCAAGGCTAAAGAATCCAGTCTGTCTTGCTATTCAACCAATAGTTGGCGGGAGAAGAGATGGATTCATACCTTTCCCAAGGTTTTTTTTGTGGGTAAGTCAATCTAACGAACTCGTCTGGGATTCGATCTCGGATCTCCGAGTTCTTATTCCGAGCCTACATTGTATCTCAACAAACATATTAATGTTTACCAATCTGAAAAGAAAGACCATACGTTAAACTTAGCTGATAAGAAACATGTGCCTCTGTGCATGTGTGATACACATGTGTGTGCGTAAGTTCTATGCTATTAGTTCCTTCAGGGATACTTCTTGCTTGTGGAAATCTCTTCCAGCATTTTTGCTTTCCAATTAAGATTCATCTCCAAGAATTTAAATGCAATTCCAATAGTTATCTTAATGTCTTCTTAATTTTCTCTTCTTTTGTTGTTCTCGTTCCTTATATATATATTTTTTTTTTTGGTAATCTTTCCCACTCAGTACCGGGCTCCTGCAATTTTTACTGAGACATGACGTTCAAGTTTCGGAGATTCTCCTGAAAGATGGACAGGAAGCAAAGACTTGGCATGTGACTGACGACGAAGTTTTAGAGAAAATGGAAACAAAAAAAGAAACTTATGCTTAACCTCATGAAGTGAGACTTGAAATTTCTAAGGCGATTAATGAGGAAAGAGGGCTTGGCAAATCTGATACTCACAGGACACGATTCAAGAAAAGAGGCACAGGGAAAAAAACAACATATAACCTTCTTACTGAGCTTAAGTAAATAGACGGCAGATGACGGTTTAGGATAAATAACAAAAAGACAAAATTTATTCAAAATCTACGAAAGACATGAAATTGTGGCAAACCATGGTCGCTTACGTCCACATGGTCGCTACGAAAGACATGAAATTGTGGCAAACCATGGTCGCTTACGTCCACATGGTCGCTACGAAAGACATGAAATTGTGGCAAACCATGGTCGCTTACGTCCACATGGTCGCTACGAAAGACATGAAATTGTGGCAAACCATGGTCGCTTACGTCCACATGGTCGCCACGAATGAGATGAAATTGTGGCAAACCATGGTCGCTTACGTCCACATGGTCGCTACGAAAGACATGAAATTGTGGCAAACCATGGTCGCTTACGTCCTGAAAAGACAAGAAAAGAAAAAAAGAAAGGCACCGCCTTAGTTGCTTTGTTGTCTTGCATCGGATGAAATAATTTAAAAAATGGTACTACCAATTTCTGAAATTTAGATCCGTGTCAGTGACTATTTAATCTTAACTTCTTTATATGGAGGAACCGTTGTAATCTACCCTCCTCCTCCTCTTCCTCCTCCTCTTAACCTCTTCTTTTATCGGCTACTCTTTCATTCATATCACACACCTCATGCAATTGCAACTATAACCCTATTCTATTTTTTACATTATTTATATTCTTCGGGCTGTTGTTCTCATCTTCATTGCCAATTTCACAACGTTTCGGCCGTTGTACGCTCCGGCCTTCTTCAAGTGTTTGGAATCTCGAACCGGACCCTTTATCTCGTTCACCGGGGTAGATCGTTCTTGTTCCACTTGCCATGCCTCTTCCGGATGCCTCAGTTATCTGTAATAACCGAGACATCCTTTAACACAACTCTCTAAGTTATTGTACACCATTGCCCTAGACAGAAATTGAATTCACAAAACTTTAGGTCAAGTCACTGGATCCAGCCAGTGTTTTTCTCCATTTTGCCCATGTATCATTGAGGACATCAGTTCATTAATTTTTTTACTCATAAATTTAATATATCAGTATTATTTATTTATTTTTTTTTTTTACTAGAGCTCATATTGCAATTTATAATTGCTTTTCTCTAGCACTATTACTGGTTCCCATTTTGTATCCATTTCTATGCTTACTCTGCTTAGGTGGTTTTTCTGGCTTAGCATATGTGCTGATTCCTTAAGTTTTCGTATTTTCCGTTGATGGTCTCTGTTTATTATTTTAACCTGATACCACAGGGGGTAAGTTATCTCTCTTTTCCCTCTCGAGCATTTGATTTTGCGCAATTCAGTCCCAAAAAAGCATCAAACGCTTTTATTTTTACCGTTGTGAACCACTTCGGCGCGGGAGTTACGATGTCCCCATATAATGCTGTGGTAAAGAATGACTTCCTAATAGTGTTTTTGATAAGATTAACACATGATTTGGGAGATGGCGTTTATTTATGGATCTGTCAGTGAATATATATCCTCTGCGTTAAACACCATTTTCTTTTTTGTTCGGTACATTGTTATTTGCCCTCTTGATTGCTCTAGGGAGCGCCATCTTTAACTTTTTAGCCTTCCCTTCTGTCTTCTGTCTCTCTTTCTCTCTCTCTCTCTTTCTCTCTCTCTCTCTCACCGTCGAACATACACACATACACGCTAGCTACAACAACTCAATCTTCGCGTTTATAATACTAGAGGGAAAGATAAAGAAAAATGTCTTGCTTTGTTTTTCACTTACCTTTGGCCATTAACGCTCGTACGAAGCGAAATATCCCCACTGAGATTTGTAAAATCCCCCAATCTCATCAAGAACATCTGACCACTGACCACTGGCCGGCCATAAACATTGAAGACCATCGGGTTTTATTTATCCCTTGCGTCTGCTGATAGAATCTCCTGCATTTCTCCATTTGGAAAGTTTGGAGGACGACGGCGGTAAAATTCCAGCGATTCTGGCATCGATTAGTAAAATAAAAAGATCGAGTGGTTGGTCCTCTGAGGTGAAAAGAAAGAATGATTCTCTTTTAATGTAAGAATTGATCAGAGCTGTTGAGGGAGGGAAGCTTCAGGAATATGCTCCAAGCTAGAAGAAGAAAATACTGAAAAAGAAGAGAGTTAAAAACCTTAATGTATTGGGAAAAGAAATTACGAATGTATAGTGAAAAACGTTACAATATTGCTTTACAGTCCATTATTTCTATACTAAGAATGATCCACACTAGGTGTCCATAGATTAATGGGAGATACCAGATTAATCTCATAGTATTTTTCTTTACTTTTTCCTATTATTTTTCTCATTTTCTTTATGTTTTCTTCCCTTCTTCTTCCTCCTAGTCTTCTTCCTCTTCTTCTTCTTCTTCTTCTTCTTCTTCTTCTTCTTTATACCATTTCTTCTTTTTTTCATTTTTTGCTTCTTCTTTTTCCTTCTTCCACCTTATCTGTTTTATTTTCTTGTTTCATTATATACTGTTGTGAGCCTTCTTCATCTTCGCCTCTTTAATCTTCTTTTCCTTCTTCTTCTTCTTCTTCTTCTTCTTCTTCCGCTTCTTCTTCTTCTTCCTCTTCTTCTTCTTCTTTATACCATTTCTTTTTTTTTTCATTTTTTGCTTCTTCTTTTCCTTCTTCCACCTTATCTGTTTTATTTTCTTGTTTCATTATATACTGTTGTGAGCCTTCTTCATCTTCGCCTCTTTAATCTTCTTTTCCTTCTTCTTCTTCTTCTTCTTCTTCTTCCTCTGCTTCTTCTTCTTCTTTATACCATTTCTTTTTTTTTTCATTTTTTGCTTCTTCTTTTTCCTTCTTCCACCTTATCTGTTTTATTTTCTTGTTTCATTATATGCTGTTGTGAGCCTTCTTCATCTTCGTCTCTTTAATCTTCTTTTCCTTCTTCTTCTTCTTCTTCTTTTTCTTCTTCTTCTTCTTCTTCTTCTTCTTTATACAATTTCTTCTGTTTTTCATTTTTTGCTTCTTCTTTTTCCTTCTTCCACCTTATCTGTTTTATTTTCTTGTTTCATTATATGCTGTTGTGAGCCTTCTTCATCTTCGTCTCTGTAATCTTCTTTTCCTTCTTCTTCTTCCTCTTCTTCTTCCTCTTCTTCTTCTTCTTCTTCTTTATACCATTTCTTCTGTTTTTCATTTTTTGCTTCTTCTTTTTCCTTCTTCTTCTTTTTATCTGTTTTATTTTCTTGTTTCATTATATGCTGTTGTGAGCCTTCTTCATCTTCGTCTCTGTAATCTTCTTTTCCTTCTTCTTCTTCTTCTTCTTCTTCTTCTTCTTCTTCTTCTTCTTCCTCTTCTTCTTCTTCTTCTTCTTCTTTATACCATTTCTTCTTTTTTCATTTTTTGCTTCTTCTTTTTCCTTCTTCCACCTTATCTGTTTTATTTTCTTGTTTCATTATATACTGTTGTGAGCCTTCTTCATCTTCGCCTCTTTAATCTTCTTTTCCTTCTTCTTCTTCTTCTTCTTCTTCTTCTTCCTCTGCTTCTTCTTCTTCTTCTTTATACCATTTCTTTTTTTTTTCATTTTTTGCTTCTTCTTTTTCCTTCTTCCACCTTATCTGTTTTATTTTCTTGTTTCATTATATGCTGTTGTGAGCCTTCTTCATCTTCGTCTCTTTAATCTTCTTTTCCTTCTTCTTCTTCCTCTTCTTCTTCCTCTTATTCTTCTTCTTCTTCTTCTTTATACAATTTCTTCTGTTTTTCATTTTTTGCTTCTTCTTTTTCCTTCTTCCACCTTATCTGTTTTATTTTCTTGTTTCATTATATGCTGTTGTGAGCCTTCTTCATCTTCGTCTCTGTAATCTTCTTTTCCTTCTTCTTCTTCTTCTTCTTCTTCTTCTTCCTCTGCTTCTTCTTCTTCTTCTTTATACCATTTTTTTTTTTTTTTCATTTTTGCTTCTTCTTTTCCTTCTTCCACCCTTATCTGTTTAATTTTCTTGTTTCATTATATGCTGTTGTGAGCCTTCTTCATCTTCGTCTCTGTAATCTTCTTTTCCTTCTTCTTCTTCTTCTTCTTCTTCTTCTTCTTCCTCTTCTTCTTCTTTATACCATTTCTTTTTTTTTTCATTTTTTGCTTCTTCTTTTCCTTCTTCCACCCTATCTGTTTTATTTTCTTGTTTCATTATATGCTGTTGTGAGCCTTCTTCATCTTCGTCTCTTTAATCTTCTTTTCCTTCTTCTTCTTCTTCTTCTTCTTCTTCTTCCTCTTCTTCTTCTTCTTCTTCTTCTTCTTTATACAATTTCTTCTGTTTTTCATTTTTTGCTTCTTCTTTTTTCTTCTTCCACCTTATCTGTTTTATTTTCTTGTTTCATTATATGCTGTTGTGAGCCTTCTTCATCTTCGTCTCTTTAATCTTCTTTTCCTTCTTCTTCTTCCTCTTCTTCTTCCTCTTCTTCTTCTTCTTCTTCTTTATACCATTTCTTCTTTTTTTCATTTTTTGCTTCTTCTTTTTCCTTCTTCCACCTTATCTGTTTTATTTTCTTCTTCTTCTTCTTCTTCTTCTTCTTCTTCTTCTTCTTCTTCTTCTGCTTTTTCTTTGTATTTCGTTTTTTCTACTTTCCTTATTTTTGTCCACATTCATGTTTGTCTTTGAATCTTTCGCATTTATTACTATTTCTTCTTTTTCTTTTGATATTTCTCTTTCTTTCGGCCCTCCATCTTGTTGTTATTGTTGTTGTTGTTGTTATTCTTCTTCTTCTTATTATTATTATTATTATTATTATTATTATGTTTTTTCTTCGTCTTTGAATTTTTACCATTTCTCATTGTTCATCTTCGTTTCTTTCTTTTTCTTTTTCTCTGTCCATTTCCTGCCGTTTCTTCCTTCACTTTTAATCTTGCCGGCTTTCTTCTTCCTTGTTCTCATTTTCTCTCTTCTTCATATGCTTTATATGTTCGTTCTTCTCCTTCTCCTTTATTTCTCTATTCATTTATATTCCCATCTTTTTTTTTTTCTTCTTTCACATTTGTTTTTCCTACTTCATTTTCTTTCTTTGGATGTTTCCCTTCCCACTACGATTTCTTCTCCCTTTTCTTCTGAGATTTTCATTCTTATCTTTCGTTTGCTCTTTCCCCTTCCTCCTCCTCCTCCTCCTCCTTCTCCTCCTTCTTCGTTTTCTTCTCCTTCTGATATTTCCCTTTTTCTGCTTCTTCTTAAGCCTTTTTCTTCTTTTTCCCTTTTTTGTCTTCTTTTTGTGTTCATCGTTTTCCTTCCTTCTCTTTTTTATATCACCATTTCTTCTTTTCATGTTTACTTCCGGCTACTACTACTACTACCACATCTTTTCTTTCTTCTTTTCTACATTACCATTTTTCATACACCCTCCTCTCTTCATCATCATCATCATCATCGTCATTTTCTTCTTATTCTTCTTCCTTCCTTCCTTCCTTTATATAACCTCTTCTTATTATTATTCTTCATGTACCTTCTTTTTCTTATTATTCCTCATATACCTTTTTCTTCTTTTTCTTCGTCCTTCCTTCCTTTATATAACCTCTTCTTCTCTTATTCTTCATATACCTTCTTTTTCTTCCTCGTTATCGAAATATCTTTGTCATTTTCTTCTTTTAATTTTGCTTTCTCCTGTACTTTAACGACGCAGTCCCAATATCCCCAAAGCAAATATCTCAGTCTTAACATGTTAAACTAATGGCACCTAACAAAGCATAAAGTCGTCCTTCGCCATCTTCTGAAAAAAAAAACATCGCTTCCAGCCGAAACTGAGATTCTGTTCTCCAGAAACGTAGAAACATCTAATATCTCACCTGCGACCATTCGTCTTTGTAAATCAAACTCCACAATGATTTCAGATCAAAAAGGACTGTTCTTGGTCCCGCACTCAAAAACCCTAAAAGCTTCGTTTCATGGTGAGGTTCGTCTTTGATCCGAGGCTGCGGATTGTATGTTTTCGGGGTGAACTCATCACCCCGAAAACTGAGGTCCTTTTGTGATACGTCAATATCAGCTGCAGCTTAGAACGAAGGAGATGAATGACGCCAGAAATTGGCTTATCCAACTTTGTGTGAAGTGACGGCGGCTGAAACTAAATGACGTACATTATTTTCTCACGGTAAATGTAATTACAAAGCATACTGTATTTATTTTGGTATAATGCTCACTCTATTTTACAACGTTTATTAAACATAAATGATGACCGTGCATATTATACACGAGATTTAAGATTTGTTTTGCTTTTTTTTTTGTAGACAGTATCAATGAGAGTAAGTTTTATCATTGGTACCAAAAATTACTTACAAAAAATAGATGACACACTCTGTTATTGAGTTATTGAGTCCTATATTAATCATTAAAGATGACGCGGGCACATCAACTTGCTGTAATCGTTAGCATGCTTGTCTCGCCAGATCAATTACAAATGAGTAGTGAGTTCGATCCTAACTGGGTGCTCCACACTTTCGACCTTGTGCCACGTCTAAATTGCGTTTAGAAAATCATAAGGGAATCTCGGTATGATATAATCGTTAGCAAACTTGTCTAGAACAGTTACGACAAAGCAATGAGTTCGATCCTCACTAGGTCCCCCAAACGTTCGGCCTTATGCCACATACAATATTTAGCTCGTGCTACATCTAATCTACACTTTGAAAATCGCCATATTAAAGATGGCGTAGACAATATGCGAAAATTAGTTTCCTTAGATGCATAAGAAAACCTTATGAGTCATTTAATTCTGAAATTTAATTTTTTTGCTAGCATTAGTAATTTAATTTACAAAAATGTTGTGCTGGTAATATTTTTTTCAAAATCATTTGCTGATAACATTTATTAAATATCTTGCTGGTAATATATATATATATATATATATATATATATATATATATGTTTAAAAATCTATTGCTGCTAATTTTTATTAAATGTATCGCTAGTAATTCTATTTTAATTTTATTTATTAAAAAAGTGGATTTTTTTTGTACAATGAATATGTATAGCTGTTTCTTTTTCCAATAAAAATGTATTTTTAAATTTCCATAGTGTTCTGATCCCAGTTGGAATATTAACTATTTGCCCACAGTTTTGACCCTAACAGATGATAACGACGAAGTTTAGGCTGGACTTGGGGAAACAGCAATTAAGATGTGGTTCCATGCTCCTCAAAACATGTCATTCAGAGGCGTTGCTGCCAGTAGTAGTTTATCGTTATACCCAGGACTAAATATGCGAAAAGTGAATGCGCTTTAGTGGCCAGCTAGAGAAGAAAACAAGTTGTTTTTCAGATTATTTGTTCATATTATTCACCAAATATCAGCTCCAAATATCGCTCAAGTACCTCAATATATAGGTTCTGGAGGAGAATCTTTTATAGTGGAACATCCTTACCATGGAAGCTAGTGATGATGACTAGACTCAGTGTTATTGGTGTGGCGAATCAAAGCTGTGAAGTGGTGACAACCATGAAATGTAGTTCATACGAACATCTGGAAATAAAATACAGGCTAGCACAGTTTCATCTATGGGAGAGTGGTTTTATTGTGGAAAATAATTCATCTCATAAAAGGCCGAGAAACCGCTTTTGATCACTGTGAAATCTTCAAGGAGTGGATTGCGTTGCTTCAGCGCATATGTGACAATGATTTTCCATATTTGGTCTCATTTGGCTCTTGTAGAAATAGAGCATGACTGTAAGGAGTTAGGTACCATCTGGAGCGGTAGATGAAAGAAACCATTTTTTCAGCATCCTTAGCGATGTATACGTGTTCTACTTGAGGGCCGTATTGAGCTTGTATCCCTCTAGAAGTTCAAGGCTTCATTGAGAGTACAGGGTCGGCATGATTAACGCAAAAGACCAAGAAGTAGACAATAAATCTATCGATCAATCCAGGTGATATCCTGTTTATAAGGGAAGAACTGAATAGGGATGTGGATGAGAGAAATGACTGGAAAGAAGTGATCAAAGATGTTCTTTTGCGGACGATCAGATAAGATCAGAAGTGATCCAAACTAAGTCCCGAATCCCAATATTTTTAATCTTAAAAGATAGAGGTGTGTATTATACAGTTGTAATCGTGCAGCACCCTAGCTGGTCGTCCAAGTCTTCCAACACAGCAGCTGGTCACTGAAGTGACTGTTTCAATCCAGACCTACCCTATCACACGTTGTGATCTTTAGATCATAAGAAAACCAACATCGAATCGTCGCAGGTATCTTCATGTTGGCCTGGTCCAAGCAGGGTGATGACATACAGAGAAAAAATTAACTCTTGAATAAATTGAACAAAAGCATATACTGTTTTTATATCAATCTCCGTACAATAATTGGTTTATATCGGAGTTTGCATGCAATTAATTATCAGCTCAGCCCGCATCTAAATCGGAAGTGATACTATCGTCGACCTGGCAATAATCTGGTTTGCTCTTGTTGGTAAAGTTTGGCACAAGGCTGAAGTAGGTGGCTTCTCTTCGGCAGATAATGACGTGGGTCTCTCTTCTGATCCGACTCTTCTTTATTCTACTCGTATTTATTGACATAATTTTATACATACCTAATAATACTATTCGTATTTATTAGCATAATTTTATACATACATAATAATTCTATTCATATTTATTGGCATAATTTTATACATACATAATAATTCTATTCATATTTATTGACATAATTTTATGCATACATAATAATTCTATTCATATTTATCTGCATTATTTTATCGATACATAATAATACTATTCATATTTATTGGCATAATTTTATAAGTATATAATAATACTATTCAAATTTATTGACATAATTTTATACATACATAATAATACTATTCGTATTTATTTGCATAATTTTATACATACATAATAATACTATTCGTATTTCTTAGCATAATTTTATACATACATAATATTACTATTCTATTGATATAATTTTATACATACATAATAATACTATTCGTATTTATTGACATAATTTTGGAGAATTCTCTTTTCCCAATCTCTCATATCAATGTCTTTCACTAAACTTCATCAGTGAGCGTGTGTGGATTATCCACCCCACTCCTGTCTTGAATCAACTTCATCCAGGACAATCAACTCCAAATTGGTTGTTTAGCGAAAATGAAATTTCCGCTTTTCAGCTTGCATCTGCAGCTGTGTGTCAGTCAACATTGCCTCTTAAGTCTGGGTCACTTTTCCATTGTTCCAACTGCTGAACATACAATTCAAGTCGTTTATGTGGGAATTAAATTTTCAACTCTTTCCACGGGGTTTTGGCTAAACCCCTTTCTCTTTTCAATGTCTCTTAGGACGTAAAACTTTCTTATGTTGTAAGAAATCTTTCTTCCTTTTTTCCGCGACAAAGACAAATAGTATCACAGAGGAAGTCTAAATAGTATTCTTTTTACCTTGTCGTCATATTCCACACAGTATGATAATCATTTATATTACTGGTGCCCCAAAAAAAATCAAATGCAAAAGAATAAAAAAATATAGAAAATAGTTGGTACGTAGGTTCGAGTACTGGCACATTGTCAAACATCAGTTAGAAAATAAATACCCAATAGAGAACAATATGCGGACGTGCCAACTATTGGTATCTCTCTATATTTCTGAGAAAAGGCTTTACGTAAACTGTTTACATTATTCGGACTATTGTCCTCATCTCTCTGTCTATATTTCTGTGATGAGGTATTAAGTACACTATTTACATTATTCGGACTATTGTCCTCATCTTTTTGTCTATATTTCTGTGATGAGGTAATAAGTACACTATTTACATTATTCGGACTATTGTGCTCATCTTTCTGTCTATATTTCTTTGATGAGGTATTAAGTACACTATTTACATTATTCGGACTATTGTCCTCATCTTTTTGTCTATATTTCTGTGATGAGGTATTAAGTACACTATTTACATTATTCGGACTATTGTCCTCATCTTGTTGTCTATATTTCTGTGATGAGGTATTAAGTACTCTATTTACATTATTCGGACTATTGTGCTCATCTTTCTGTCTATATTTCTGTGATGAGGTATTAAGTACAATATTTACATTATTCGGACTATTGTCCTCATCTTTTTGTCTATATTTCTGTGATGAGGTATTAAGTACACTATTTACATTATTCGGACTATTGTCCTCATCTTTTTGTCTATATTTCTGTGATGAGGTATTAAGTACACTATTTACATTATTCGGACTATTGTCCTCATCTTTTTGTCTATATTTCTGTGATGAGGTATTAAGTACACTATTTACATTATTCGGACTATTGTGCTCATCTTTTTGTCTATATTTCTGTGATGAGGTATTAAGTACACTATTTACATTATTCGGACTATTGTCCTCATCTTTCTGTCTATATTTCTGTGATGAGGTATTAAGTACACTATTTACATTATTCGGACTATTGTCTTCATCTTTCTGTCTATATTTCTGTGATGAGGTATTAAGTACACTATTTACATTATTCGGACTATTGTCCTCATCTTTCTGTCTATATTTCTGAGATGTGTTATTAAGTACACTATTTACATTATTCGGACTATTGTGCTCATCTTTCTGTCTATATTTCTGTGATGAGGTATTAAGTACACTATTTACATTATTCGGACTATTGTCCTCATCTTTTTGTCTATATTTCTGTGATGAGGTATTAAGTACACTATTTACATTATTCGGACTATTGTCCTCATCTTTCTGTCTAT